TGATTCCATTTATACAAAATGTCCAGAATAGGCAAAGCTACAGAGACAGAAAAGTCAATTAGTGGTTGCTTAGGGCTGGGTGGGGGAATGGGAATGAGTGCTAATGGGTACAGAGTTTGTTTTAGAAGGGGTGAAAACATTCTAAAACTAAATTGTGGCAAGGGGCTTCCCTGGGGGCGCAGTGGATGAGAATCTGCCTGCCAATGCAGGGGACATGGGTTTGAGACCTGGTCCGGGATCCCACATGCCACGGAGCAACTAAGCCCATGCACCACAACTACTGAACCTGCGCTCTGGAGCCAGCGAGCCACAACTACTGAAGCCCGCACACCTAGAGCCCATGCTCCGCAACAAGAGAAGCCACCACAATGAGAAGCCTGCGCACTGCAATGAAGATTAGCCCCCGGTTTCTGCAACTAGAGAAAGCCTGCGACCCAACACAGCCAAAAATAAACAAACAAACAAATAAATAAATAAATTTATTTCAAAAAAAATGTGGCAAGGGGCTTCCCTGGTGGCGCAGTGGTTGAGAGTCCACCTGCCGATGCAGGGGACACGGGTTCGTGCCCCGGTCCGGGAAGATCCCACATGCTGCGGAGCGGCTGGGCCTGTGAGCCATGGCCGCTGGGCCTGTGCCTCCGGAGCCTGTGCTCCGCAACGGGAGAGGCCACAGCAGTGAGTGGCCCACGTACCACCACCACCACCAACAACAAATGTGGCAAGGATTGTACAACCCTGTGAATATATTAAATATACTCAAAAACACTGAGTTGTGAACTTTAAATGGGTGAATTTTATGGCTTAGAAATTATGTCTAAATAAAGTTGTTTATTTAAAAAAAAAAAAGCACAGCCCTGGGTACATGATGAACTCCCAATCATTATAAAAAGAGCAAAAATGTGCTCTGTACTTGAAAGGACCTTATGGGGTTTACCTCGCATGATCCTGTCAACCCCTCATGAGGCAGGAACTGTTATTATCCTCATGATCACACAGCTGGGATATGGCAGAGCAGGGACTGGAACCCAAGTCTTTCTGACTTCAGATCCCAACCCCTGCTGTTTTCCATAAACCATGTTGCCTCTCTCTACAGTCAATGTAACCACATTGAGTGGGTTCAATTTAGATCATAGTGGCTGTATCTAGGGAACTCTGGGTCAGCTGGGGGCGTAGTATGTAATGACCTCTGTGCCTTAGGTAAGAAGTGCTCTAGGGGAGCACTGAGCCAGGAGCACACACTGTCAGTTCAGGAAGTCTCTACCCACAGGCACTGTCCATGGGTCCTGGCCATGTACCCGTGCTAACACCCTGTGACACAGCTGAACAATCAGCATAGCCAGCCTGGCAATAAGCTGCCATCAGAGGTGGCTCCCATGGGCATGTCCAATAAGCAGGTGGTGACTTCTCTCAGACAAGATCTGGAAGTCTAAAGGCGGCTTCCCTCCCTGCAAGACGGAAACATCTCCCAACGTCAGGTTATCAAGGCCAGGTGATGCACAGCCTGCCAGTACTCGGTACTGTGATTTGCAGATCCAAGAAGCAGCATGGGGCTGTGTGGAGGAGAAAATGTGCCTGGAAAAGCCCAAATCTCCTCTGGACAGAAGGTTAGAAATGCCAGTAAAGCCAGGTGCGGTAGGCTGATGGCTGGGACAGCGTGCCTCTCAGATCGTGAATCTGCTGTAAATTGCTCATCAGCTTTCCCCAAGAGGGATGCCCTAGTCTATGGCTCTGTACTCAGCCACTCGGAAGGCTGACTTAAAAGAAATGCTTGCAAAGAAACAGGACGGTGATCCAAGGAGATCAGCATATATATCTGCTCAAATATATATATACCACACACACACACACACACACACACACACACACACACACACACACACACACACACACAGCATGATGTTGACCCAACCAGCTTTCTATTACTTGGCCTTGCTGTATTCTATAGTCCGATGATCATTACTCGTTATAATGACCTAGAAGACTTGGAATACGTTCATGTTCTTTCTGAATCATCATCATAAAAAAAAAAAGAGTCTGTTATGTTCAGTCTAGCTTTAGCACTCTGCATGTTGTGGAGTTTTAACTTCATGAAAATCAGTAAGCCATGCATGGGCTATGTAGTAGCCTTTAACCAATATTCAATTCACTAGACCAAACTATTTTCTAACCATGGAAGAAAATGTACAGTGAGTTCCTCCAACTGTGGTCCCAGTTGGGGCCCCCAAAGCCTTCTTTTCCTGGATTTCCCCAGGACACAAGCGAATTCAAGGCTGGAGAGATGGTAGCTGCCTCTGGATTTCCCACCAGCGGTACAGCTGGAGAACTGGTATTTGTCTGAGCCTTTCTCAAGCCCAGGTGTTGTTCTGTTGTGTCAGCTGAATTTGCCCTAAATAAATGCAAATGTACTTACTGCATTGACATTATCCCTTTAATCATCTGTCCGTATTCCCCCACTAGATTGTAAGCTCGGTGAGGGCAAGGACCACGTCTGTTACTCATGGCTCTATCCGCAACGCCTGGCACATAATGAATACTCGAGAAATAGTTGTTGGGTGAATAAATGAAACACCTACTGTGGGGAAACTACTGATAAAGCCTAAGAGGTAATCCCTTCCATCCCACTTCCCCATTTTCCTTTTGTTTTCTCGGTCTCAAAGGAGAGGTGATGCTTTCCCTTTTCCACTTGCGGGTTTAACAGCATCCTTTTGGCCCAGCCGGCTGAGCACTGAGTTGGCTAGCTGGCAGCCAGCAGCTGCAGAGGAACGAGAGTAGAGGGCCGGCCAGAGAGACCAGGCCCTGAGTAGGCTGGAGTTTTGGCCCCCTGAGGGAAAAGCCCCGCTGAGGTTGGCAAGATTCCTGTTTCCTATAGGCCTTTGCTAAACAACAGGTAGCACTGGGGCTTCTGTTCTGGTATGAAAGTGAGGGCCAATGGAGGAAACCCATCTCAACTTTGTACCAGGGACTGATGGCCCCTCACTGTAACCTGGGCAGAGGTCTCCTCCGTGGTGCCGCTTGCTGTCCCCCTTGCCCGTCCTTGGGGCCGTGGGATAAGATGTGCATACCAGCCCCCGACAAGTGGAGCTGTGAGGCTCACCCTGTCCCACTGGCCAAGAGCACTGGGTGGTTGCTGTTGAACCCAGCATCTAACAGTCCCAAATGCCACACATCTGGGCCCCAAGCGTGGACTCAGGGCCTTGGGGAAGTGAAGCACCACAAACAGCAGGGACACCACCGTGGTCCATGTGGCCCCTGTATGGACAGAGAGGCCTTGTGCTAGAGGCAGCCTGAGCCCCCGTCACTCTGCAGGCCCAAGGGGGCTCTCAGGAATCAGGGAGGGGCTCTAAAGCCATGCCCGGAGTTTCTAGAAGTCTCCTTTCCGGGCTGCAACACCTCCAAGAGAAATCGATTTGCCTTTGGAACAGCTTCCCTTTTCCCTTTCTCCCTCTCTATCCTGCTCAGTAAGAGGTATCATTGGGTGTGATGACAGAGAGGAAGAACACAGGGGACACTGACAAAGCTAATGCTGGCCTTGCCTTCCTTTGGCCATCAGAGGTTTGATAGTACAGATGGCCACCCGCTTCAGAGCTATTCACCTGGAGGCGTGTGGCAGCTCAGCCCCTGGGCTCCTTCTATTCTAAGTCAGTTCCTTTACTTCTCTATGTGGAGCCTCCTTCACATGCTTTGAGGTCACCTATCCTTTCCCACATCTGTGGTGGATTGCCTTCTAATTCCTGTGGACGTGATGAGATGTAAACGTGGGCCTGTCACGACGTTCGTGATAAAGAGATCATGAGGTGAGAGGGTGGGTGTAGGTACACGGCCCACGGGGTGCTGGTCATCCATCAGGAGTGTGTTTCTAGGGGTTTCCCTGGCGGTCCAGTGGTTAGGACTCCACGCTTCCACTGCAGGGGGCCCTGCAGGTTCGATCCCTGGTCGGGGAACTAAGATCATGCAAGCTGTGCAGCACGCGCCGCCCCCCCCCACCCACCAAAAAAAAAAAGCCAGAGCCTGTGCTCCGCCACGGGAGAGGCCACAACGGTGAGAGGCCCGCGTACTGCAAAAAAAAAAAAAAAAAAAAAAAAAAAAAAAAAGGAGTGTTTCTACCCTCAAACTCCTCGCTTTAGATCACATGTGACCACGCCGTAAACCAAGACAGCTTTGAAGAGAGAAGAAAGAGTCAAGCGGCAAGGCAAGTGGATGGAGCCATCAGCACGTGAGGAGGCTGACTCCTGGGTGGTCAGTCTCAGCTTCCACCCGTGATGTTTGGGTGCAGGGATGGGGAAAGCCTCGGGTCTAATACGTAGAGTACCTGTTCTTTGGGTCTCCCCTTTCTCCTCCTACTCTGGTTCGGGGCAGCAGCATCTGGACTGGGCTGATTTGTCCTGAGGCCACTGTTTGTGTCATCACCAGGACAGCCCTGAGGGGTGGCTGTACTGGGTTGCCTAACTGGGAAGCCTTCTGTTTGGGGGCAGCACTCGACCCTGTTTGTTCTTAGTGATCGTCCCCTCCTATCTCCAAGCCTCCTGCTGGACTGCATTGTGGGCCTGCACAGCCTTTCCTACCCCAGCCTTCCATGGCCTCTTACTTCAGGCAGCTCTGTCAATGCCCGACTCTGATGGACAAAGAAAGGTTTTAGCTTCATTTTCCACCTCCACTTTCAACTAAGCCAGAACACCCGTGCATCTCTCTTAGATCACTGTAGCTCTAAAGCTTTGCCTTAGATCCAATGCAATTCTCCAATTGGCTCTATGTATTGCTCGTTTGCTATTTTTATCTTACGTTCCTTGGTCAACTAAGACACAAGGTATTGTCACAGGCATCCTTTGTGGGACAGGCCCATCTGAAGGCCAGCTGTCTTTTCCACTGTCTTGTGCCACGTAGGACGCAGTGATACAGCATGGGCTCCTGGTAAGCCAGGCGCTGGCAGAATGGGGTGAGCATTCCATGTCTCCAGGGTCCAAAGGGCCTCTGTTACACTGAAAACCGAGACTGAGCCCTACCTGCCTTGATCATTGGAGGTGGAAGAGGCTGGCTAGCGGGCCTGGAGAAGACCATCTTCCTGGAGTCCAGCAGGAGGCGGCAGTACCCCGCAATCAGGCAGGCAAAGTTGGTGGCTTCGGGCCACTCCATCAACAGCACCAGAGGCTGGGGGAGACATGGGAGGAAATGTGAGGACACAGGAAGGAGCGGAGCAGGTGCATGTCCAAGAGAACAGCAGCAAAGGCAAGATGACTTGCATAGTTATGAGAACATACTTTCTGAACCCCAAATTAAGGCACACAGCCTGACAAATAATTTCTTCTGATTTGAGAATTCATTTATAGTAAACTCTTACCCAGGTATCAAAACTAAATCAACCTTTAATTACACATTTAATGAATCACTTTTACTGAAAAAGACTAAAATAATATAACATCACACGACTGCTGTGTGGCTGTTTGGGTTTTTGGGGGCTCAGCAGATGTGCGGGCCTGCCGGGAGAGCAGGGCTGAACCTGGGAGTCTAGGCTAGGTTGGGCAACATCCTTGACAGGAAGTTCCTCAAGTGCACAAACTATCTCTTGCTCATCGCTATAACCCGCTATGGTACCCAGAACAGCTCCCCGGACACGGACACTCTGTGCAATCTGGTTCTCACTGTGTCTTCTGGGCCACAAAGTCTTTATGGTCTGCAGTCCTGCTCAGACCTTCATGCTCTCCCCGCATTTTCCTCTGTTTCCCAAAGGGCTCTCACGATGTTAACTGGTGCTCCTTAAAAGAGTTCCTCGGTCAAATATGTGGTGAAACGCTGAGTTAAACGAAGCTATGCAGATAGTTATACTTACGGGAATTCTCCGATCCTTTAATATAGTAACGTGCACTGTGAAACTTCAAGAGGGCTTTAGTATTTTCCAACTTTTTCCAATTATTTGATGGAAAAATCTATTTTCATAGAACATCTCATGGTAGTAGGGTTGCTTTTTCTGTTTTGTTTTGTTTAACCCACATTGGAAAATGCAAGCACACCCTGTTGACTTCTGTTCCTGACCCTAATATCAGTCAAATTAATCTTGGCGTTAGCTAGCTGACTGCTTCAGAGACCTGGCAACGATATACCAAAAAAATCAGCACCTTTTAAAGAAACCTTCCCAATATCCGCATTGTAATTTTATGGTTTGAAAATAAATCTGGGTCAGACTGAAGTCAGCCATGAGAGTATTCTCCCTGCCATAGGGCAGTGGCCTCCAGATAGAGACCACTGAAGACTGGCTGAAGAGGGAGCCATGGGGTCGTGGGGCATCTCGTCTTTTGAGGGTTCCCGGACCAGGCATTAAGAGCTAAAAGAATTAAGAGCAGGGAATGAGTCTCTTCTCTGACTAGTGAGGGGTGAGGAGTGAGGTGAGGGGTGATTAGGGCCCCCACTAGGGTACTGGCAGTAAAAAGGGACATAATGAAGACTTGATGGAACTTGGTCACCAACTAGACTAGCCTTCTTTGGCTGGATCATCATCTTGGGAACAATTCTGAATCCAAACCAGCTCAGCTTTTAGCTAAAGTTGTACCAGTTTTCTTTGCTATCTCTCAGGATCCTGACACATAGCTTGAGTTGAATATTTTCCGTTCATATAGACCAGGGGTTGGCAAACTTTTTCTGCAAAGGGCTAGATCGTAAATATTTTAGGCCTTGTGGAACACACAGGCTGTGTTGCAAGACCTCTGCTATTGTAGTGTGAGAAAAGCCATAGATCATCTGTAAGCTAAACAAATGGATGTGACGGTATTCTAAGAAAACTGTTTACAGAAATAAGCAGTGGCAGGTCAGGTTTGGTTCATGGGCCATAGTTTGCCACCTGATCTAAGAGAAAAGCTTCTTTCCAGTTAAATACAATTGTCTGTATTCATCTTCACACCTCTCAGCTTGTTTCATTTGTCAACAGTGATCTCCTTGTCCACTGGAAATTCTTCTCTTGGCTTCTGTTTCTGTGAGGTGACACTGTGCTCTGGTTCTATAATCTCTGACCACCTCCATCTCTGTCTCTCTCTTCTTGTGCAACCTCCCCACCCGATGTCCCAGGCTCGGTGCTCAGCCCGCAGTTCTCCACGAGGGCATCAACTTTCACTTTTGAGCTGGGGATCCCAAAGTCACCATCTCTAGTCTAATTCCCCCTTGAACTCTTCCTATCCCAGAGCTTGTACAGTGCTGGATCTATATCATACAATCTCGTGCTGGATCGAATCCTATCTTGAGTTGTTTAATAGTTATTGTTCATCCAATTATACAGCACACCACGGTAAGGCATTCGGATTCTGCCCCACAGGCAATGAGTTAGCGATGCTCCTATGGAACTCATCCAATACCATCAGGAAAAAAAAAAAAGGAACCATCCATA